TTGCACAACGAAACAAATGTAAATATGCAAGTGAAACACTTTAGAAATAACATAGAATCCTTTTCACAGCCTCCCCTTCCCCCACCCCGGAAGCATTGCTTGGGGTTGAGGGTGGGGTGTGACCACCCACAATAACTTGGCATTGTCGGTACAATCATTGTCACATGGGCAAAACTCATGTGTTTGCAAGCCGCAATGAATAATGGCCATGTCCACTGTCCTCTGATTGAGTGCACCATCATTCCAATGATGTCCAGTCCTCCCCTCCCAGCTAGGCCCGCCCTTCCCTTGCCACCAAATTCAGATTTTGATTTCTGCATGTATTTGCCTAAATTAATATTGTAAATAGATGTCAATTTGCCAGTGAAGCTTTCATAATCTACACCAACTGGCGTACCCGTCTTACAGCCCACCCCCTGCCATCCCTCTTCCTACTCCAGTGCTCATTATGAGCAACTATCCCTCCCCTCCAAAGAATTGTACAGCTTATGTATTATTGTAAGGGTTACATATTGCCTTCCGGAAAGTCCACATATTTACATACACTATGTAGGTTTCGCTATTTTTTGTCAACGTGGGAGTGGTTTGGAATATCTGGAAAGCGCGGGGGGGGGGTGTGTATGGGGTACATGTACATGGAAATGTACATGATGCTGAAATTTGTTTTAACAAAATTGCATTTATCTTATTATTTTTTAAATACAAAGAAGTGATATTGCGATTACGAGAGCAAATAACTCATATGTTTATATTAAAATACATGTACTTTAAAACAACTATCACTCTAGTGAAAACTCAAAATGGCCTCTATATTGATTGATTGAATTGAACGTGTAAATATGGTCAGATCAAGCACATATAAAGTCGGATATAGTACCGTTATGGGTGCTGCTATGCCCTCTAAAAATCGTAATTTCGTAATCAGCGTGACATTTTGAGTCTCTTCCAAACTGTCATCAGCAGTGAACATGGCCACATCTGTGGTGCATCCATTGTTACATGGCAAGCTATCTAAATGTATTGGTGCTTATTAATTACAGGGTTTTTTTTGTATTCAAGCATGGAATGTCTTGTTAATGTGTTAATTTAAAAAAATCAACTTCCCCACCGAACCACAAGTGCTTACAGATTTTAACCCTTTCTGGCAGGTATTTGGGTTTTTTTTCTGAAAGGGAGGGGTACAGCACACTGTGATCCCATGTTGATTTGCATATACTTTGACCGATTTTCCTACAACCGATTTGGCAGGAAAATATTGGTTGACAATTACTCTATAATATGACATTCTTGGTTCTATTGCCGTTACCACTGGAGCTTTTTTATATATTTTCCAAACCCTTGTCTAGATAACATTTTGGGCATAATTTCTGTATTTTTGTGTAAACATTCATCTCCTGTCAAGCAACTGTATGCATCCATTGTTGCTGCCATAGGGACTTATAATTACTGATTTTATTCCACAAATGTGTGGGTTTTCAACCCGAATTGGCAAAACTAATGTAAATATACAAAATTGTGGTGATGTTATTTAATGCTCTGCATTTCATTCATGTAACAACTATCAAAAACGTACTTCAAAACAAAGAAAATGGTACAGATTGAAAGGTGAAAATAACATGCGCTTCTCGCACCAATGGCGGCCACGTTACATACTGAGCATGTATTGTTGTTGTATTATAGCCATGAATTACAGTCATAGAATAATACTTCCGTGATAGGCTTGAAAATGGAAGTATGTTTGACTTTAGTTTATGAGCACTGATGTCTTTACAACGTTGCCATGGTAATAATAAGCACACTACAGGGGTGTATTTGGTGCCACAAAACTTCATGTTGATCAGGCAAATACAAATTTGGAGGACAATCCCACTAAAACAATACTTCAGACCCTTACTACATGTAATATAGCCAAGTCAAGTCAGAGTGAAATTCATGCAATCAAATTGATGCTGTGTTCTCTCTGAGCTTTCACTGGAGTGATCGTTGTTCTAAAGTACATGTATTTCAATATAAACAAATAAGAGTTAGTTGCTCTCTAAATAGACAGATCTTTTCCGTTTTGAAAATTATAAAATAAACGTCATTTTGTTCACCACACCTTTTACTGTAATTCCAGAGTAGCTTGCAATATAAACAAATGTGTACAGCGTACATGCATGTGTCCAAATCACCCTTCCCACCCCCCCCCCCCTGCGACATACACACCCCTTCTTCTCCTCAATTTACACTTTCCCCAAGGCCATATGCATGTATGTAATCTCAACACAATTGTACTTGTTGACTTGTTGGGGAGGGCGTGGTTCTCTTTGAGCTTTGGGAGTGGGGGTGGCAGGGGAAGGGGCTATATATCTGTGAGACGGCTGTTGGTGTAGATCGTAAAAAGTTCACTTCAAATTGATATCTGGTATTTACAATTTACTTTAGGCAAAAACATGCAGAAATCACAATCTGAATTTGGTGGCAAAGTAAGGGCGGAGCCTAGCTGGGAGGGGAAGGACTGGACATTATTTGAATAATGGTGCACTTCAATCAGAGGACAATGGATATGGCCATTATTATTCATTGCGGCTTGCAATCACATGAGTTTTGCCCTTGTGACAATGATTGTACCGGCATTGCAAAGTTATTGGTGGGTGGTCACACCCCACCATCAACCCCAAGCAATGCCCCCGGGGGTAGGGGAAAGGGAGGCTGTGAAAAGGAACTCTATGTTATTTCTAAAGTGTTCACTTGCATATTATTTATTTACATTTGTTTCGTTATGCAACATACACGTTCAAAATTCGGTGGCACATGGGGAGTGGGCGGGGCCTAGCCAGGTGTGGGGGAAGTACACTACCTACTATTCATCCAATGGTCTAAAAATGATACACAGTCTAATTCTGTTTGTGAAAATGTGCTAGATTCATGAACAATACCAATTATACAAGTTTATATACCCAAAACAAAGGAAAACACTGAAAATACACTTTGTAAGGTTTTTGTGAAATTTACAATTTTGGAGCGCTACTGCACAAAGGCTATACAATAACCCAAAATTGTCTCACCAGATATGAAAAGACCAATGTCTGCACTAACCATAGCCGAAGGGAAATTATGGCCCTGGCAAGTGCCATTTTGGAGGGATAAAAATGGGGTAAGAAATGCAATTTTGCTAGTTGTAAAAACATGCTGTATTATAGGGCCTAAAAATAATATAAAGGAGATTTTTCAGAAGTGTTTTTATTTTTTTCTTGTAAGGGTAAGGTTGATACTTTGTCGTGATATAGTTACTTTTGTGACATTACTTTGCAGTTTGGCTTGATGACCTTTGAAAATAATGCAAAAAAATGAGGGTTTTTGCAGCCTCAAAATTGCCGAAAAATTGCCAAAACACATAATGGCCCGTAACCATGGCAACGGGCAAAATATCGGATAAAAATCTCTTTTGGTTACTTGCCCCTAAAGTCCTTTCATCCCACAAAGTATAAAAAAATTCGATTTTTTGAGCGTGGACACTTATATGAAGTATTTACACGAAATGACTCTTAAATGATATACATGTACTTCTCCATAAAAAATGTACTTCTCTATAAAATGTATGCTTCCGTATAGAAATTATTTTTCTCTATAAAAATTATACCTTTCTAAAGAAATTTGGGGTCTATAGAAAAAAAAATGTTATAGAAATCTATAGAATTCTATAGAGTTAACAATTTCTATAGACTATATAAAGTCTACAGAGAATTGGCGAGCCTGTAGAATTCTATAGAACTGTATAAAACTTTTTTTTAAGAATTCTATAGAACTGTTTTGTAAGGGGTTGGTGCTCATGAAAAGCAATCCAATGGCTATACAATAATGGAACGCCCGTGCATACGTGTGCTGTTGAATACTGAGCCAGTGACATTAATTAACAAACACGCGCTAAAGCTAACGGGAAACCGGAAGTTGCACCATACAAACTAAAAATGGTTTATCCGTTCCTGTAAGTTGAACATAACCATAGGTTTTTCGGAACAACAAAGCGATTAAAGCAACTAAAATGTTCACCCTGATGTCCTTCCCAAAATAGAAATGAAAGATTTAACTACGGAAAGACTCTGATACCTGTTAGTCTGGTTGATGTCTGAAATGGCCAGTATTTTTCTTAGGTGTACTTATTTTTGGTGGTTTTTTTTTGGGGTCTTTTCATACTCCACAAAAATGCTTCGACGTGTATCTGGACTGCAGGTACGTCAGTTGAGAAAACTTTTGGATTTTGTTCAGCGCAGCGTTGACTCGCTATAAACGTTCAACCACAAAACAATCATAAAGCGGTGGTGGTAAACGTGTCCCAAATTTACCGTAACTCATATCGTTTCTGACAGGTGTTTCAGAGACGCCTGGACGGCTCGGTGAGCTTCAACCGAACCTGGCAGGAGTACGCCGATGGATTTGGGAATCTGACCGGAGAGTTCTGGCTGGGCAACCAGAAGCTGAGCAGTCTGACTCGTAACTGGGGGCGGGAGCTGGTCATCACTCTGAGGGCGTTCGCTGGGGAAGAAGCCCGTATTCGTTATGAATACTTTCACGTATTTGCATCTGAGTACACATACAAGCTTATTGTCGATGGCTTTAGTGAAGAGAGTGGAGATGCAGGTATACTACTTACATTGTCCTTCACTTTCAGACTTCTTTCACACATCATGTCTTGCACTGTTGTCTGCGATATAATTCTGGTTGAACTGCGCTTCTTTCATCCAATTACAATCAAAATGATCCCAAAACATTATTACGAATGTCTGAATCTGTAGACAATAATCTGTTCCTAGGACTGCGTCAATATCAGATGAATACTTCATCCGGCCACTTGTCTATAAACAAACAAATATAAACACGGCTGTACATGCAATGGATTATGTTACAAATCCATAACGTTCTTTAAGTTAGGGAGGTTTACGGGAAGATTTTGAAAATTTCCGGCCGATAGAAAAAGCATAAAGCAGGCTGAAAGCAGCGTTGAAATTGTTGATTAGTCTGTTTGATGCCTATGCAGCATTTCACCAGTATTGGAATCATGAACAGATGAAGCTAGATCAGGCCAAGAAAAAAGAGTCAGTCTCTGGTCAGACCGAAGTTCCTGAATTGATGCGGCGACGCGTTTTGTTTTTTTGGTGTTTTTTTATTCAAGCTTGTATTTGTACAGACAAGGTGTGTACTATTTTGGTTTTTTGTGTCCTCATTATACATTGTTGTCCTCCATAATTTGCCTTGGTGACCTTTATCATTTGCCTTGGTACAATTTTCCCATTCTTGGGGGTCCTTGGTACACACATTTGAGGAGGCGCGGCAAGAGAGGGCGCTGTTGTAGCTTCCGTGTTAATTTGGGGGGGGGGGAGGTTCACGCGCATGATTAAAATCGACGCGCGAACTGCCCAGAGAGCGAGTATTTTTTTTTGGCCTAACCATGATAAATAAAGAAAGCAGATCATGTCCAAACATTAAAATAACAAGAAAGAAATCCATTCAAATGTAATATTAATAAACAGTCCCTTCATGACAATGTTCATGCAGCATCTGTTACCCTTTCTGATTGCACCCAGGTGATTCACTCGGGAGTGGAACAATTATACGCTTCTCAACTCGAGATGAAGACCATGACAACGACGGGGAAAACTGCGCTGAGAAATTCCACGGAGGCTGGTGGTACGACGGCTGCGGTAGCGACATCAGTGACTGGTTCCTGAGCAATCTGAACGGCTTGTACTACAACAACGCAACGGTCGATGATTACATGGGAATACAGTGGGTCACCTGGAAGGGTAAACAGGTCTCTCTTAAAGGGTGTGAAATGATGACACGATCCAAATGGTAAGCGTAACCGTAATTGGTGGGATTCATATTGACAGACAAATTAACCTAAAGTATTTGTGTTTTTCTGCAAATTAAAAAAACATAATTCCAAAAATTGTTGGAGGGAGATGAGAAAAAAATTATGATATAGTTTATATAAAATATGAAATATTCAAGCATCACCAACCGGAGTTATACAAAAATGTTGATTTCAACCCCCCCCCCCCAAAAAAATATTGTTCTTATTTGCTCGTTTGGTTTAATACAATAGTTATAAAGTTTTAAGGAAGTGGCACAAACCGGATCAAAGGTGAAGGCAGCGACATCCAGACTGTCTGTCAAGTGTTTGCGTGGAAACAGACGTTGCTGACGCTAGCGTCTTTTCAGTTTCCTAAGACTTATGCGCCTATCAATTGTTTTCCCCACCCCTCCCCTGGGCTGCCCCGTCCAAGACGTGGGGATTGTCATTTTTGAAGTGACAAAATCCCCACCCCTCAGGCAAAATTTAAGTGACAATCACCGACCATGTCCCGACATACTTACGCGGGGCGCACTAGTGATAGCCTTTCTATGATTACGCCAATGTTAACAATGTAATTTGAGTGACCAAAATCCCCATCCTTGGACATACAAAAAACGTGACAAAATCTTAACATCGGACCTGGAACAGCGGGGGGGGGGGACATTTGATAGGCGCATTATGACGATTAGATGGTTTACAGCAAGTGCATACAGAATGTCCTCTTAGCTGAGCCTAAATGGAAATACATGGCTATAATACCTTGATCCATTATCAATAAAAGAAAAAAACAAATTACCACCACCATAATTAATAACGATGCTACATACATTTTTAACGCCATTTTACCGATGCAAATATTAGTGTTCATGGCAAAACATGAGCCGCTCTGTGATGATCACAGGAAATTCCTTATTGAATGGCACTATCCGTCTTCCGTAATTATAAGCAATACATATATTAGAATCCTTCCACATAGGTGTCGTTTAGAACTTAAGGGATTACAGAATCCGATGCATCTACATGGTTCCAATGGATCTGCGAGTCGCAGCCGCGAGATAAATAAGTCAAGGCCGCGAGTAACCCTTCATGAAAGCGAGGCCAGCTACCATAACAAAGAAACGCACCACCGTGAAAGAGAAACGCACCGCCGTGAAAGAGAAACACACCGCCGTGGAAGAGAAAGAGGAGCCTGACCCTAAAGGGCTTCCGTACGCTTTTTTTTCACCATGTAGCGATAAACATGTATAATTGGTATAATTTTTCTTGATTTTGTTGGGAAAAATGTTATCTTGGTGATTATTTTTAGTACATAATGTTTAAGCGCAAATCATTGGCCTTCCAATTATTTTGTAGCCGAGTTTATTTCAAAGATATACCGCAAGAACTTCAACAGTGTCTCATAAATCTTTGCCAACCTCATTGAGAAAACGGCTTTGAACAAAAAACCTATTGCGACGCCATTGCAACGGCAGTGATGTAACGTTCTTCAAGGGTATGTTTTCCCATAAAAAAAAATGCAAAGTGTGAATCTTGGATGCATTGACTACTCAAAAATACAAAACAACCAATATCAATTTGGACATGATTTTTCAACTATATCCGACTTCAGTCGTCGATTACTCAAAACAAGGTTTTGGGGGACAGTCCTTCAATTTGCCTCTGTAGTGTGTCTGATGGTTTAACAGCGTGCTTTCAATTATCATTATTCACCATACGTCAGCTTAGTGGAATCTGTCCCCTTTTTCACTTTTTTTAGATATGCATTAGTACATTTCATTCTTTTTAATATCAAGCAATTGGTCCATAACGGAGCCACCTGCAGATTGTCAAGAGATCTTGGATGCTGGCCAGAACACTAGTGGTGTGTATACCATCCAGCACGCATGCCAGAATATGCAGGTCTACTGCCACATGGAGCCGGAGTCGGGGAAAGGATACATAGTGAGTCAACAGTTCCTTATTTTATTTAAAAGCCATGCTCTATGCCACATGTCAAATGTGGTGGATGGATTGTAAATTAAGCTCTGAGAGGAATAGAACATTTAAAAATAGGTTTTCTTTGGTCATAGCAGTTCTGAGATAAGCTATGTAACCACTAAGCAATAGTGGAAGTCCGTGCCCCAGAGCCCTTACGATGCGCCCGGAAAATGGCAGATAATGCGTTGTTTGAATAATGGTCGCTTTGATGAGCGCCCCGATTTTGGAAGATGTTCCCCATCCCGACCCCACACTATTGGATTTTACGGAGGCCAAGTAGTGTCCAGTACAAAAAAAATATGTCCACATTCAGCATGGATGTACCCCCCCCCAAAAAAAAGGGGGGGGGGAATGCTCGTACGCTGCTGTATCCATGGAAGATGCATTAGCAAGTGCCCCTGTTTGGAGATGCCGCCAGTTTGAAAAACTGTTCCGCCGCCGCTAAATACCCTTGTTTGTATCTTTTCTCACAGGTTTTTCAGAGACGCCTGGACGGCTCGGTGAGCTTCGATCGAACCTGGCAGGGGTACGCCGAGGGATTCGGGGATCTGACCGGAGAGTTCTGGCTGGGCAACCAGAAGCTGCATAGTCTGACTCGTAACTGGGGGTGGGAGCTGGTCATCACTCTGAGGGCGTACGATGGGGAGGAAGCCCGTGTTCGTTATGGGAAATTCAAGATACACCCATCATCTGAGCGCAATTATGAGCTCTATGTCGGTGACTTTAATGCCGAGAGTGGAGATGCAGGTACATAATACCCTTTTGCTTTCCGTACTTTTCCTTTGGGACCTCTCTTCATGCACAGTTGTCTACGAGAAAATTCTGGCTTTACTGCGCTATTCTCATCTATTTGTAGCGGTATGTGATTTATCAGATGTCATAATCCTGGAGTCCTATCTGATTGTATTAATAAAATTGTGGATATTGGATTCATGACTGCATTGTTGTTATGTATTATAGACACTTTTTGAGAGTTTATCGTGCATGATAATATTGAAGTATTTTGATGTCGCCAGTCGCGCATGCGCGTTAATTCTCTCTCTCCCTCTCTCCCGCCCCTCCTCCCCCACCCCCTCTCTGCCCCCCCCCCCCATCTCTCTCTTTCTCTCCACGTTGTTTTTGGACTAAGGTTGAGAAAGATCAAGCTCAACATTAGCGTTATTGAGAAGTTTATCTCCTTCCAAGATCGTCGTTCGTGAATGTCACCTGTCCGCATTTGATTCAGGTTGTACCGTTGATATATAGGGTCCGCTGGTCCGTTAGCATTGTGGAATTTAAGAGTGAGAGAGGGTAACGCATGGTTTTTGATCCGGTCTGGGGAGTTTATACTGAGGATTTGGATCTAGAGATTTCTTCTAGGATTTGTAGAGAGATTTTTACAGGGAGAGTTTCCAGGATTTCAACGAAGATTGATACTGAAGTTTCTGCAGAGATATATCTCGAGATTTGAATCATCTTTAGATTTGAGATTAGGATTATTTTCAATTATTTTATATCGACTGTGCCAGGATCCAATTTGTATTAAGAAACTATTTTGAGTGATAATTTGATCATTTCTATTTCTAACTGGGATTATCAAAGAGCCTCTTGACATCGACGGATTTTTACTCAAAACTGATTAATGACCAATAAATAAATTGTGAGCTGCAATATTCGAGTTACCAGATCACATTTCTAACTGGGATTATCAAAGAGCCTCTTGACATCGACGGATTTCCACTCATAACTGAATAATTACCAATAAATAAATGTGAGCTGCAATAATCGAGTCACCGGATCACATTATTTGGAACCGACTGCCAATGAATCATTAGGGTACACACCGTACCCCAGTTTGTAATCACACGCTCACACTTCACCAGGGAGCGTACAACTAGGCGAGCCCTAACATTGTTACAGAGAAAAAGACTGACATAAAAACATTAATTTTACTGAGTGTTTGAATATGTAGGCGATAATATGTTTCTGCTCACATCCCAAATAAATGCTTCCTTCGGCTGCTTGCCCATAAACATAACACACAAATTAACATGCAATGGATTATATTTAAATTAGTAGCGTAACAAAAATTGAAAACCCACCAATCGGGTTACGAGCAGCGTTGAAAACAAACTAAAGAAAGGAGACCGTACCTAAAAAGAAATGTCATTTTGTAAGTAGTCTGGATCCCTTCCTGCAAATGTCCGTGCAGCATTCGCCATCTATTGATATACTTATACAAGGTCTGACGATCCTTCCTTTCTGATTGCACACAGATGATTCGCTCCGCCTTCAAAATCATTGGTACTTCTCAACTCCAGATAAAGACAATGACTTTGACGGGGACAACTGCGCTGAGAAATTCCACGGAGGCTGGTGGTACAATTACTGCGGTAGTGACATCAGTAACTGGTTCCAGAGCAACCTAAACGGCTTGTACTACAGCAACGCAACAGTCGATGATTACATGGGGATACAGTGGGTCACCTGGAAGGGTAAACAGGTCTCTCTAAAAGGGTGTGAAATGATGACACGACGCAAATAGTAAGCGTAACTATGATGGAAAGGATTCATATTGACAGACAACATTGAAACCAGGCGAATAGAGGGTTGCAAGCATTTGTATTTCTGCAAAAAAAATACATAATTCCGAAAAATGTTGGCGGGGGAAGGGGGTTTGCGGTATTGTAAGCAAGAAACAACTAGATTTATGTTTGTGGACAAACACAAGGCCGTTCCGGTAACTTTTTGTGACATATGTCGCATGTAAAATTTCAAGTATAAGTTCCTTCCAGAATGTTGAAATCAAGTTCGCATCTTTTACCAATTTTAAATTACAAGGCACTTCCGGTGTCAACCGGAAGAAAGGGTCACGTTATTTCGCACGTTATTTAAAAATTGAAGACCCTGGATTATTATCAATTTTCGCAAGCATCAATTTCAGGTCTCTCATGGTTGATTTTATATTGATTTTCAAAGATAACATTTAACGTGACGTCACGTGACTCATAATGATGTCATGATGACGTCATTTTATTTTTCATCTATAACACATCCCGGTCTAGGTGTATACCAACTTTAAACCCAATCGGACATGTAGTCTGTAAATATGGGCCTTCAAAATATGTTTATTTTATATGAAGTCATATGTCACGTGATGACGTCATCATTACGTCAAGTTAATTTTCATGTATAAGACATCCCGGTCCAGGGACATACCAACTTTCAACCCCATCGGACCTGTAGTTCAGGAGTATAGGCCTTCGAAATATGTTCATTTTATATGACATCATATGTCACGTGATGACGTCATCATGACGGCAAGTTAATTTTCACCTATAAGACATTCCGGTCTAAGTACATATCAACTTTCAACCCATCACTCTCATGTTTTCTTGAAAAAGTCTAAAGAAAGAACCACTTCCGACGAAGCTCGAGTGAAAACTATATCTTTACGAGTGAAGAAATTTCACTCTAAAACGTCTAGTCCCTAGTTTTTGACTGTAGGGGTGAATTTTTCACTCGAATGGAGTGAATTTAAACTCTTTGGAATTAAGAGAGCACCAATATCTTGTAGTGTCGAATATCTGAAGAGATTTTTTCTTTATCTCTCTCTCCTTGCTGCCCAACATCACTTTCGACGGCTGTTATTATATACTACAACGCAACTGACAAATACAATAAAGCATCAACTGAAGTTTAAAAAGAGCTGTTGTACTGTTTTATTGCTTAAGGTTTCATAACCGTGCAAATGTTCACCTTGATCATCTTACAAATGGTGTCAATATCTGTCCCCATTTTTTTGTAAAACTGCCCCTGATAGAAAAGTAGAATGTGTGTAGGACCACTCTGTAGATTACAAGGTCCTAAATTATCCTAATCAGTAGCGTACAACGCTTACAATGTTATTTGAAGTTTTGATTAATAGTAGTAATACTTCTTAAACTATCACAGTGTTTAATGTTTTCACTATAAAGTATATAATATATTGTAAAATTCACATTATATATATGGTATCTTACTCATCAAATCGAGTCACAAGGTTAATCACATGAGCTACGTTGGGAAACAAGCCCTTTGAAAAATCTTGCACAATGGCAATATCTTGCAAATGTCAATGGCAAGTGGTCTTTGTTGAAAAGTATACATGGTATTCAAAAACAATTGCGCGCGGTCCTTTCAGATTTGCAAGGCTCTTCGCCCGATCTGGCCTCGAAGTCTGTCAAGCCAGCAAATTATATTTTTGAATATTCTTGAGTCTATGTTTTTGGTCTTTATTATTGAAGTCTGATAAGTGATAACTACTTACCCTTCGCGTGCTAATTTTTGGCGCTGTGATATTAGACGGCTGCATGGAACCAATCATTGACACAATGTAATTTGAGCTACCCGGCCCTCAAAGTCCACCATTCACCCAGATTAACCCCTGGTATCACTCCGGCCCTATAAACAGTCAATGAAACCAGACACTACCCTCCTCAATGCCATTTGACAGTTCCATTTTGGCCACAGGGGTGATCGAGGTAATCCCTATGTGAACAATGCATTTGTACACAAGCCTATGTAATTGCGCACAAGCACACTAGGTTTTCCCGCCAATTTCCAACCCCTCCAGTAGGATCACAAGACTTACACCCCCTCTAGTGGATGTACCATGGTCCATACTAGGATCTAGTGACAGATGACCTTGGCATGGCTACCACGTGGCTGGGCTAATTTTTGGCGCTGTGATATTAGACGGCTGCATGGAACCATTCATTGACACAATGTAATTTGAGCTACCCGGCCCCTCAAAGTCCACCATTCACCCAGATTAACCCCTGGTATCACTCCGGCCCTATAAACAGTCAATGAAACCAGACACTACCCTCCTCAATGCCATTTGACAGTTCCATTTTGGCCACAGGGGTGATCGAGGTAATCCCTATGTGAACAATGCATTTGTACACAAGCCTATGTAATTGCGCACAAGCACACTAGGTTTTCCCGCCAATTTCCAACCCTTCCAGTAGGATCACAAGACTTACACCCCCTCTAGTGGATGTACCATGGTCCATACTAGGATCTAGTGACAGATGACCTTGGCATGGCTACCACGTGGCTGGGACAATAAAAAAACAAAGAAATGTGGAAGTCAGTTTATTCACACTGACTCCAGGTAAGGCCATGAAAATGCCGAGCACAATATCTTTAGCTTTAAGATGAACAATGAAATGTCGCTTTCGTCTCATCGGTTCGGCATCCTATCTCTCTAAAACGTTTTTAATAAAAGCCTAATTAAAAACGAAATTGGGATAAACGGTGTTCTCCTCAAAATTTGACGTTTATTTTCCGGGTAAATACATCATCTATGACGACAAAAACTGCACGATACCCTCTGTTATATCCTGAAGTATTTATGTTTTTAACAAATTGGAAGAACATTGTCCTACATAAGGAGTAGTTTTGCATACAGTTTTATGAACATTTCCTTTTAAGATGTCATGCAAAAACCAGTTAGCCAGTTTTCATCAGTTCACTTAGCCTTGGTCAAGGCGTTCGTCATTTATTATCCGTCCGTACGGTAAGCGGCGGCATATCCTCGCCAATGCATGTAAAAATGCAGCGCGAACAGCGACCTCGTGCGGCCACTTTTTATATGAAAATCGTTTGGATCCGATCAAACGCCTTGGTCCAATCCGCGGCGAAAGCTTAAATGTTTGTCTTTATTTTAGATTTCTAGCGCAAGACCTCAATACAATTATTGTAGGCGGGGCTAATATGGGGAATGTGCAATCACAACTTGGCAAATCCCAACATTATCCAATTATTTGCATCTATTCGCCTTTTGCGGACGTGTCAGAAACCACATATTTGTGTTATCGGTGCTGTTTGTAATGTGAGACACACAACGTGTGTGCTCACGTTGTCGCTATAATTACTTTTCACATGCAGTCGCTGTTGGTGCTGTAGTTTTTGGACCAGCCAAATTGAAATATTACATTTTCGACGGCATTTTGTGGTAATAGCAGGCAACCACGTCAGATCAATCAGTGAAAGGATGGAGAAGAAAATGTCGGTGGATTAATTTTGACCCACAATATACCTAATTTGCATAAATTGTTAATCCCTGCAGTGTATTATATTTATTCTCATATTTGGGTATATTCTTCGTTTTTTTAAATTTTTTTGAAAAGTTTATTTTGGTGATTCTAGTTACACCCCCTTACTTACATTTTCTTAAGCATGTTAGTGACATAATAATCACGAGGATATAGTAACGATCCAAAATGGCTACTATTATACCAACAAATTCGCACATTTACTTTGTCTCCAGATATCATCAAGTAGTGCAAACCTCAGTATTGATGAGCTTCAAATTCACCAAGTTGCTTACTGGCACAGAGTTCCTAATAAAACCCTGATGGGAAATCGTGTGAACACGATAACATTGTGGTATTAAGCTCGGCAAACAAAAACAGGGGAAAAGGAGCTTGCTGTTCGTAAACTGCGCTTAAATTAGGAGAAGGGTCGCCTAACGTTGGATCCTTGAATAAGGAAACACCCCCAAAGGAAACACCCCACCAAAAAAAAAAAAAAAAATGTTTGTAATGATTATGTCAGTGTCAAAATGTTTTCTTTCCCATTAATTTTCTGTCTAATCATAAAGAGAATGTCCTTGAACTTTTTCAAGTCTCTCACGTTAGGTTACCCTTCACTAATTAGGCTAATTAACAGACACCTCGTTTTCCCGTGTTTGTTTGCTGGGCTTAATGTCACCATGATATCATTGTTCACATGATTTTCTGTAGGGTTTTAATAGGGTCACTGTGCCAGTAAGCAACTTGGTGAATTTGAAGCTCGTCAATACTGATGTTTGGCAAGACTCCTTGAAGACATCTGGAGCCAAGGTGAAATGCGCCCAGCTGTCGAGTATAATAGGAGCCATTTTGGATCGTTACTATGTACTAATAATTATTCAGTCGCTTACATGCGTTAGAAAATATTATTGAAGTAAGGATGTTAAGTAGAATCATTAAAACATTTCAAAAAATCAAAAAATAAAAGATATACCCAAACAAGGGCAAAAATATACTTCATGGTAGGTATTAAAGATTTATGCAAATTAGGTATATTTAGGGTCACAATTAACGGTGGCATCCACCCACATGTTGTTCGTTATGGTTCAAAGAAATAATCTAGCATGGATGCCAACTATTACCAAAAAATGCCCTGAAATTATTCTCCAGGATACTTTACCACGTTCGGCTGGCCTACCAACATGCACTGCTGCAAAACAGCGCCAGCTGTCAGCAGTCAGCGCGCGGCGAGGATACGCCGCCGAATGCCGTACGAACGGATAACGATGAACGCCTTAACCAAGGCTACAGTTCGTTGAACTGTTCAATATTGGTGCGCCTGTTTTCTATCGATTGTTGTTCCCCACTCTCCTACCCAGGCACCCCCCTATCAGAACCGGTGATCGTCACATTCCAGTTGACCATCTCTCCTCTTGAGGCACACTGCTACACCCCATGGCAATAAAGGATAGGGTCCAAACATTTTATTTAAACTCACTGATGACGCTTTTTCAAGCAATTATTATTATTATTATTTTTTAAAGTTAACCAGAATATTGCAACCACCCTGCTAGTTCTTGAGCCGAAATACATTTCAAAGCAGCAGAATCATATCCACAATAGTCCAGGGACAATACATATTCATTCACTGCATGAGCAGATTTGTGGAGGGGGGGG